CGTTAGCCGAACGGATTTGATAGGACATAATCTCATTAATAAGTATAATGATATAAAGTAACTAAACTATCTTTATAAAATCTCACTCTAGTTACTTTAGGAAAAATGTGAAAAGTATGGAAATCCATGAAAATGCATATCATGCTTTATATATCGTTAGTGGAGCGTGTGTGGTTAATCGACACACTAATAACGACTATAAAGAGATATGATGAGCATCTCGAAAATTATCATTGTTGATGGAGTGTGTGTGGTTAACCGACACATCAATGTGAGATGATAAATGACATCGAGATTGTCAAGCGGGTTTGCATTGTCATTCATATCTCGTTTGTGATCATCGACATCACAGACACAAAAAGTGAGAGCATAATCTGAGATTAAACATGTGATTGATAAGATTCAATGAATGTCAAAAGATCTAGGAGTTTCATAAAATTGGAATTGGTAAAAGCCTTACCTACCTAAAATATATTTGAATTTGATTACGACATCTCTCTTCAAAGTTCAAATTGAAAATATGGATCCTAGCCTTAATTTAAACTTATGGGTTAATAATTAAGGATTAATATCAACTAATTTGAATTCTCTTTTCTCCTAATTTTAGATGTCTTATGAAGATAGAAATGGTCTTCCTCGTTATTTTGGAAATGGTTTTCCTCTTCGTTCTGAAGATGATTTTCCACATTCTGATCAATGTGAAAATGTTTTCTCTTCTTCGAGAATTGGTGGAACTGGACATCATGCTTCTTCAACTCTTCCACCCCTCTTCATGTGACACTCCCAATGTTACGTTTTCGTCAAGTTGAAAGATGTGAAACAAATCAAGCCCTATTGGCATGTAGACATCAAGATGGAAATTTTTTGTGTGTGCATGTTCTACAAATGAAATCATACAGTGACAAGTTGGATAAAATGTGTGTTATTTTACCAAGGGAGCAAGCCATTGATTTGGTTCTACTCTCACTTCCTAAGTCATATGGTCAGTTTGTTGAAAACTTCCATATGAGGAATATCGATGTGACCCTAATTGATCTAACCCAAATGTTGATATTTGTTGAAGCATAAATGCTTAAGAGCACATCTGAAGTAGAGTTGCTTATAGGGTCTAATTCCAAGGTTTCCATGGACAGTGGTGATGGTGACATTGATGGTTCAGAAAAGATTTATCTTCCCAATAGAAAGGGATCAGCCAAGGTCAAACAATTTAATCATATTGTAAAGAGAAAGGGTCGTTCTGAGATCATCCCATGTTTTAAGCCCAAAGAATCCATTTGTTTTTACTTCCAATTGAGGGGGCATTGGTTGCGAAGCTGTAACACCCAAAGTCAGGAAGGCCAAGAAAGGAAAGAAAACCCTAATTATAAGGAACGACTCGACGAGTCCAAGGAAGAACTCGGCGAGTCCGAGCGGGATCCGGGTCAAGGAGTAAGTGACCGACTCGGCAAGTCGGCCAAGGAGACTCGGCAAGTCTGGTCTGTGCGAGGAAAACCCTAAATTCGGGACTTAGAGCCTATTTAAACGTCTCATTCTCTCCCCTAGGGTTCATTTACTGCCTCTTTCACCCAGAACATCGAACCCTAAGCCCCATTGTTGCTCATTCAAGCTTCCAAGCCATTTTTAAGTGATTTGAAGGAAGAAGAAGAAGGGGAATCATTGAAGCTTCAAGGAATGGCCTTAGATCTGAAGATTGGGGAAACTTTCTGAGTTATTGAAGGTATTAATTCGTTTCCCTCCTTTAGATCTATTTTGGTTGTGAGTTTTGGGGACTTTTTAGCCATGATTAACTACCCTTTTTGAGTTAGAAACCAGATCTGAAGTTGCTACTTCGGATCTAAGCATATTATGGTCTGGAGAAGCATAAAGTATCTGCCCTTGGGTTGATTATGGAGCTTCCTTGCCTTAAACTCTATTTTATGGTGTATTTTGCCTAGATCTCCTTCTCTACACGTAAAGTTTGCAACTTTACGTGAGGAATAGGCTTGGGAAGGGTAGATCTACAGTTTGGAGTCCATGCATGACTCAAAAGTCCTCTGCATGTATGAAGACCTAAATGGACTCGGCGAGTCCTTGGAGTGGACTCGGCGGGTAGCATGGAAGATTTAGAGGAACTCGACGAGTGGGATGAACAGCTCATCGAGTCGGATGAAGTTGGGCATGAACTTGACGAGTTGGAAGAACAACTCGGCGAGTTTGTTGAAGGTTGTCTTGGACTCAACGAGTCTGTTCTGGGACTCGGCGAGTCAGGTCGCCAAACCCCAAACCCTTCGAGTTGAGACTCGAATCAGTGAGTCGAGTGGAGACTCGGTGAGTTGGACAGGTCAGGACTCAGAAATCGGTAGACTCAGCGAGTCATGGACTGACTCGACGAGTCGAGTCACGAATGGAAGGACTCTGAACATATGAACTCGGCGAGTCCGTAGGGTGACTCGGTGAGTAGGGTTGACCTGGAAGGTTGACTTTGACCAGGACTTTGACTTTGACCAGAGTTGACTTGGTTGTCTTTCGGGGGTCAGTTAGACTCAGCGTTGCTTTGATATTGGTAGCTCGGGGAGCGATTGGAGCAGGAGTTCAGAGAGTTGTCGGGCAGCAGCTAGTGGGATCATCATCAAGTTCAGCCAGTGCAGGTAAGTTTTCCTTTGTGTGAATGGGTCTAAGGCCATAATGCCGACCCATGTAGTTATGAGTAGAAGACCCGGGGGTTAGCCCTAGGCACAATATGCTAAATGATATTCAGGACGAGGTCCAGTGGTAGCGGGCGGGTGCCCAAGGAATGTTTTATGTGATAGTTTATACTTTTTGTCAGTGTGATGCTTGTATGTGCCTGGTAGGGAAGTGAGTGTGGGCGAGGTCCCGTAACTCACCAATAGCAGAGTGTGGATGGCGTTCCACATCTCATTAGCAGCAGATCAGGGGCGAGGCCCGAGTTAGGAAAATAGTGAGTGTGGGCTAGGCCCGTATCTCACGATCAGTAGGAGCATGGACGGGTTTCCATGACTCATCAGTAGTAGGACAAGGGCGAGGCCCAGTGACATGCGAGGTCTTAGGACATGATCCGTTAGTATGTGATTAGCTTATGTGATGTGATATGTTTATGTGCTATTATATGTTAGTGGGTGAGGCCCTATGACAGGCGAGGCCTAAGTGAAACAGATCTGTATCCGAGTGGGGCTCGAAGCCAGGCGGGGCCTGGAGCGGCGGGGTCGTTGTATCGGGCGAGGCCCAGGATACCGGGCATGGCCCAGTATGTGCAGTATGTGGTTATGCATGGTATGTGGTAGGGTGGGGAACTCACTAAGCTTCGTGATTACGATTTTCAGTTTTGGTTTCAGGTACTTCCGGTAGCGGAGGAAAGAGCTCGGGGTGATCGCATGGCACATACCATAGATTTGACAGCCTGAGAATGTTTTACTCTGATAACGAACATGTGTTTTGGAAATTAATACTCTGATTGTGTTTGGATTGATGATTTTTCTTTAAGTAATGTTTTATTAAAAGAAATTTTTTAGTCTTGAATTTTGGGATGTTACAGAAGCTGCCCAAAGTACCCGAAAGATCTCAGAGATGGTAAAGTCATTTCGAATGAATCTACTTCAGATACATTATTTTTCCAAGTTCCTATTCATAGACTTTTAATACATTATGTGATGATCACATTTGATGTTATTGCAGGATCTAAGAGAAAGAAAAAAGCTTAAGCATAGTGAGCTAAATCTGATTGTGGGAAATGGACTTCGGTCACATAGTTCGATGATCGGAATTTGGAGCTACTACTAAAGAGTTAGAATAATTTAATAGATTGTTATTACTAGAAACATAGTTTTTCATTCTATGCGTTTGTAAGGACAAGTTCCAAATTTTCATTTATTTTCAATAAAAGTGAAATTATGGTTTATCTAGTTGCCTTATTTATATTTCCTATCTACTTTTATTTTCTCATTTTTTTTCAAACATTGCATCACCTCACACCCACCCTCAAAAACCTAACTTGTTACTGATCGGGAGGGAAAAGATCAAAGAAGCACAAAATAATCACACCTCATTTGTGTGTGTTGGTGCGATATCAAGAGAGAGTGAGAGGGTAAAATGAAATAGTTGGTAAGAAAGCTGCAACAGTCACTAGAAAGCTGCATTTGTTTGCTCCATCGCCACCATCCTTCAACTGTGCTTTTGCCTTCTCCAACAGCGCCTCTTGACAAAAAGATTTGGAACTTCGATAAACACAAACCCGATGAATAGAAAATCTTGAGGAGCCCCGACGAATAGAACATATCTGGTGAAATCCTTGTCTTTGGAGTTGTAGGTTTAGAAAGGGAGAAGAAAACAGTCAGAGTTGCAGGTTTCAATAACATGGAGTCCTTTTACGATGATATGCGACGGGGGTTTTCTGGTGGCGAACGGAGAAAACAAAAGACATGAAGAGATGGAGCGGTGGTGGTTGGAGTTGAATAGATCGTAGATGGTTGGCCTGAAAATGGTTTTCAGGGAGGCAGACGGAAAAGGGGAAATGGAGGGGGAAGGAGGAGGGGTGGGTTGGGGACGTGGGAGTGGACTATGGACGTGTGATTGAGGTTATTTATTTTATTTTCTTTTTATTTATTCTAAAAAATGATAAAAAAATAATAAAAATATAAAAAAGAAATTATTAAAAGCAAAATAGTCATTTGATGTTTTTAGGGACGATCTAAGTGGAAAAAACATAACACATGGTATGTCCGAGTTAACTTTTGAAAATAAAGATGAAACACATAATTTGACACGTGGATCAAGACGAATCGTGTAATTTACTCATACAAATATATACAGCTAACAGTCACCGACACCATATTTCTTCGTTGGCATAGAAAGAGACTATCTTCTTCGGCATGACCACGGCGTAAAGGAGTTACACACAACTTCTCCATTGCATTGATGACCCATACCACAGTATGACTGACCTTCCGAGTTTTGTAGAATCATTAGACATTTCTGGCCATTTTTGTATTCTAATTTTAATCAAAATAAAATAATGTGAGTGATTATTAATTTATTTTGATAACTACTAATGCTTTTAAAGTTTGGATAAAAAGGAAAAGTCAATGGTCGATTCGCACATTCTCGGCGTTCTTTCAACGCTAATATCTATCCAAATCGACGGTTCACCCATTCCCCGTCCCTACACAAACTAAACCCTACATATAACAACCACCACCGCCATACTCACCCCCACTACTATCTCTCCTCTCGCTTTGATTTTGCATCTGCTCTTCCTTTCAATTCGACCTTCTTTCTATCCAATTCAATCCGCAGATATGTCTGACGAAGAGCATCAGTTTGAGTCAAAGGCCGACGCCGGAGCTTCCAAGACCTACCCTCAGCAAGCTGGTACCATCCGCAAGAGCGGTTACATTGTCATCAAAAATCGAGCTTGCAAGGTTCGCATCTCTCTAGATTCTAATCTTATTTATCGCTTTCTGTGTACGCGTTATTGATTTTGACTAATCCTGTTACGATTTCCGATCTTGATTGGTTTCAAACATCTCTTTATTCAGGATTTGATGCCTGTTTCTACAATTAGGTTACTGAAAAGTTGTATTAGATGTGGTAGGAAGGGGATAAATCCTCGGTTATGACCAATTATTAGACGTAAATTTGATAATCCAGGTTTTGTTTATCAGATGCACATCATAGGTTGCTTGTACATATATTATATATACCTGTCAAAATCGTACTATTCATGATTTGAAACAAATTGATGCTGAGTTTGATTGTAGATCACAATCCAATTTGATGATTCTTGAGACAAGTGAAAAACTGTTGTATTGTATTTCTATTATGATAAATTGATTTACATGGTGTAGGTTGTGGAAGTTTCTACCTCCAAGACAGGCAAGCATGGTCATGCGAAGTGTCACTTTGTTGCAATCGACATCTTCAATGGAAAAAAGCTTGAAGATATCGTCCCATCTTCCCATAACTGTGATGTAAATTGTCAAATCACCATTTTCATCAACTAAACACCCATCATTTCTTCTTTTTTAAAACCTTTTTTGCATCAATTTTTCAGGTCCCTCATGTCAACCGCACTGACTACCAGCTAATTGACATCTCTGAAGATGGATTTGTACGCTTCTTTCTAATCTTTTATATCATCGATTTGATTTCATTGTTTTAACAAATGATGAAATGATCTCAGGTGAGTTTGTTGACTGAAAATGGCAACACCAAGGATGACCTGAAACTGCCAACCGATGATGCTCTTTTGACTCAGATCAAGGAGGGATTTGGAGAGGGGAAGGATTTGGTTGTGAGTGTGATGTCTGCCATGGGAGAGGAGCAGATATGTGCTGTTAAGGACATTTCTGGTCCAAAGTAGACTGATGTTTTTATATCAGCAGAAAGGTATGCTGTTGTTGTTGTTGTTATTGTAATAGTAGCAGCATTTTACTTTGTGCACTACTATGACTAGCTCATTTGGGCTACGAACAGTGTATTTTACTGGTTTTGTGTACTTTGAAATTTGAATTTCTCCATGTTGTCAAGTGTCAGATTATAATTTTCTTTTGGATTGGTTACATTTTCATCATGAAAGTTGATATTTCATTCATACTGTTGTTTTTAATTTTACTATGCAAAATTAATTGAAATGTAGAACATGCTATTTGATCGTTTAAAATCCTTTCTAAGATTCAAGTCTGATTTTTCTGAAAGATAAAACTGCAAACAGTTTTTTGATGTTGGGGTTTCTCAAAAGAACATACAATTTTGAAAATCAAATCCCAGTGACATTATCAAATATAGCTATTTTTCACACATTTAGGAAGTCGGGACATTATTATCAAATATAACTATTTACCAAGCACGTTTAGGAAGTCGTGTTTATGTTTGACAAAATTATAGAAATGGTCCTTGTATAAAGTTATGTTTTTGTCTATTGGTCCCTATGTTTGAGATATTTTCAAAATTGTCTTTTTAATCTTATGGTGCTTATGCTTAGAAAAATTATTGAAATGGTACTTGCAAAATTTTATTTTGTTTGGCAAAGTTACAGAATGGACATGTATGAAGTTATGTTTTGTATTGGTTTTGATGTTTGAGAAAGTAACGGAAATGATCCATCGAGATTTATCCAGTGGTCCTATGTTTGAGAATATTTGATGGTCCTTATGTTTGACAAAAATTGAAAAATGGTTTCTGTGTAAAAAAGATGTTTTATCTAGTGGTCCTTATGTTTGAAAAAAAAACTCAAAAATTGGTTCCTCTGTGAGAAAAGATATTTTATCTAGTGGTCTTTATATTTAAGAAAATTACATACATGTCTTGCTATATTTAAACCCAAAACCAATGAAATCATGGGTTGAACCCAGAAATCGAGAAACCGAACCTGGTCTGAACTGAGTGCGTTGGGTTCTAAAATCCAAAAACCGAAATACACGGGTTTGGGTTCGGTTTTAACTCAAATCCGACCCGGTTATGTTCACTCCTACTTTGTTACAACAAATTTAAATAATTGGTCCCATGTATGAACCCTAAGGTAAATGTTCTTATGTAAGGCAAAGTTACATAAATGGTCAATGTGTAATAGTGATATTGAATAAACGTTCCTTGTAATAGCGGAAGCACTTAAATAGTGCTCATCTAACACCAAATTTATAGAAATGGTTATCATATAATTGCGAAATTATAGAAGTTGTCTTTGTTTAAGAGTAGGGATGTGCGAAATTAACCAAAGAACCCAATAGGAACCGGGGTGTTTGGTTCGATTCTCTGTTCCTTAAATGTTCATTTTGCAGTTTTGGTTTTTCGGTTCCGGATTTGTTTGGTTCGGTTCTAGAATTAATCTCATTCCAATGCAAAGGAAATTAAAAATATAACCTAACCTGAAGCGGATTATGCTAATCGGTTTGGTACTGGGTTCATTGAATTTTTATTATTCGGTTTCGTTCTTTTTGCTTCTGAGTCAATTTGGTATGGTTTCAGATGCGATCTCACCTTTATATACGAGAACATTACATAAATTGTGTGAAAAATATAAGATTAATAAACTCGCTGCAATGTGAATGCCTGTTCACTAGTTTATATTACCGGAGGCTTATTATTAGGGGTGAAAGTCAGGTTCGGTTTATGGTTTTTTTTGGTTTCCTTGGATTGAGATTTTTTTTTTGTCCAAACCGAATTCAAGGTTGCGTAGATCAGACCAAAAACCGAATTACAAATGGTTTGAAAATCAAGAAAACCAAATTTGAAGATTAAAAATAAAACCCAAATTTACAATTTTTTCAAAAATAAAATGCGAAGTTCCAAACATAGAAATAAAAAATTTCAACATAAAATATAAAGTTCCCAACAAAAAATTAAACTCTCAAACATTAAATGCATAGTTCCAAACTTGTTTGCCTTGCCAAAATTTCCTCTATTTTAACATTAATATTTGTTATTTCCATCATTGATTGTCGGATATCTACAACAGAAAATTTAACAGTCCATACATAAAATAAAAGTGCATCAAACACAAGTAAACAAACAATGTATAAAAACATTTATAGAACTACTAAATTCATCAAGTACCATTCTCTTTAAATTTCTCAAAATATTCCACGTTTTCTTCCATATTTGTCGCATGACTTGAGGCGATTCAATCTTTACAACATATTAATGCTTGCATAATTTTAGGAGTTGAAGAACTCCTAAATTGATCAAGTACCCTTCCTCCATTACTAAAGGTAGATTTAGATGCCACAAGATATATGAATAACTAACACATCACAAGCAACAATCAATAGGATGGGAAACAAATCACTTCTCTTCTTCCACCATCCTATTAACCCAAAACAATGAAATCGTCACTTACAGTTAGAAAATATACATTAGCTTCTGTGATATCCTCAGTCAATTATGTATCTAACTTTGACTTAGAATCGTTCACTACAACATAGTGCATTGTATAAGTCAAAATACAAAGCATGAAGCATAGATCAAAGCTAAAAACATTTTGCAGATCAAGAACCATAACAAAATTAAGTGTACTCTTTATTAGTTCTATAATCACAAAACATGTTCGTTGAGTAAAGAAAACTTGATCAACTAAAAAGTACACTTAGAGTGGTTCCCTAGACATTTACGTATGATACATGTTTTACTTGAGAGTTATAGTAGAAATTATAGTTAAATCTCTTACGCACTAATTACCTAAAGCGAAAACAAAAAGTTTAACAGAGTGAAGACTTTTGATATGTGGGTCGTGGGAGAAGGGATAACAACAAACCCCCGTTGTAGTTGGCAACTGAACTTCAGTTCCTTAGACTTTTGCTTGATTGAAACTTCAGAAGACGAAATGAGAACGAAAGAAAATAGCAAAACATATGGAAAATTTGTTTTTTTGGGATTTCTTTTGTCTTTGGCCTTTGGGATTTTCAAATTGGAGATATATTTTAATATTTTAACATCTTAATTCAGTCTTTAAAATGCATATATATATATATATATATATATATATATATATATATATATATATATATATATATATATATATATATATATTAGTTTGGTTTGGTTTGGTCTAAACATCATTAGATTAAAACCCAAACCATAAACAAAATTCGCAATTCGGTTTGGTCTGAAAAGAAACAAGAAACAGAGTTTGAAATTTGGTTTGGTCTAAAATCGCTTTCAATATGGTTTGTTTTTTTGGTTTATTGGTTCCGAACCAACCCAAACCTACTTATTATATATAAAAATATATTTCTTTAAGTAAATTATTGAATTGGGTAAGAGTATATTAATGATATTCCAAAGATGATGCTTGATCCATATATTAAAAGTATTAGGGATTATGAAACAAAATATAAAGATTTTTTGTTGCATGATATCGTTTGATATAAAAAATATTTGAGAACATATATATTTGTAATCACCACATGTATGAACATACACATGCATTTCACCTGTGTAAGAATGATTAAAACATATGTAACATCCAAAATTCTAGGTATAATATATTATAAGTTTATTATAATTTTTTTAAAGATTTTATTGGCCACGACGTGGGAAAGGTGTCCCCACGACGTGGCATGGCCAAGAACGTTCGTGGATCAATCTTTGTGCCCCACGACATGGAAAGTATGAGGCCATGACATGGCAACCATATGAAAACAAAACCCTAATTTTTTTGGGCTTTGGGCCTATTTAAAGGAAGTGATGGCTAAGGTTTCCTCCGCCCTCAGCCTCTATCACCTCCAAACGACCCTTTGGCTAAACCCTAGCCCTTTTGGAGATTTTGAGCTCATTTTTCCAAGTTTTTTTGTGGTTTTAAAGGAAGACGAATAAGTTTTGGTGGTTAGCTTCTCCAAGAAATCCCTCATCATCCTTGTGTGCAACTTTTGGACTTCTTGTAAGTCCTCAAACTCTTACCTTTTTGTTGTATGCTTCTTGAATCTAGATTGTATGCCATATTTTGCCTCATTTGTGAAGACATAATGAGTCCCAAGAACATTATATCTCATAGATCTGGGATGTGGTTGTGGTTTGGGGACATTGTGACTCTTGCATTGGTATGTTGGTCTGGGCCCATTTGTACGTTGGGTTGGATCCATTTGTATATTGGTTGGGCCCGTTGGTATGTTGCTTTAGGCCCGTTTGTATGTTGGGATGGGCCCGTTGTATGTTGGGCTGAGCCCATTTATATGCTGGGATCGACCCATTGTATGGTATATAGTATTTTGTGGAACTCACTAAGCTTTGTGTGCTTACAGTTTTATGGTTCAACATTTTCAGGAGTTCTAAAAGGGAAGGATCCTGCTTGACTGCACAACATTCCCCTATGATTTTTCCGCATTGATGACCATTGTTGTACTGTGATGTTGAGATGCATTTTTCTCATGATTGGTTTTTGGAACACTTGATGTATGAATTGGATGATTTATAAATGAAAAATTTTATCCGTATTTTTGGGATGTTACAATACATGTCTCATGTTTAATGATATAATTACAAACAAAGATCAAGCCAAAAAGTTAATGGAGGTGTTGTGAAAATAAACACTCATATATACGATTGTTGGTAGTGACGTGTTGGTAGACGTTTATCCATGTATTTATATTATAGTTATTTTTTTTCCTTTGAACAAATGAAAGTCTGTTGGATATAATGTGTAAAATACAAACAACTTTCTATATTGCTGTTCACATCAAGAGCTAAAGAAAAGATGTGGAAACATATAATATATTTATTCGATAAATTATTATTTACCAACTAAATAAATAAATATACAAATTGGTTATTTACTATTTATTAAATCAAATCAAATTAAATAAGAGAGTATTAAATAATTAAATAAATGGTTTTATTTAATACAAGAGTTCCTTGCCTAAGTGGTTGTCTGTAAGATCTAGTGTTCAAGAAACAAGGAATTTGGAATTTTCCAATGTGCTTGATTCTTAAACTGGTTTTGGATCATCTAATTCCCATCAATCTTACCTTAAAATGGACCTTCATACGAGTAGAAAATCTCTATATGAACATACGAAAGACTTTCCAAGTCACCCAAAAAAAACTCTCGACAAGGTCATGCATAAATCAACATTCCCTATTATATAGGTTTCGTACGGCTTGACAAAACATGCATGTAAAAGGGTTGTAAAACTTTCAAGAAGCTTTTCGGTATCATATT